CTGCCCGAAGCGTTTGGCCAGACTTTCATGGTTGGTTTTTCTGCTAATTTGACCACCGACTCACCAAACGGCTCCTTAGTTATAACCGAACAATACTATACACTTCTGCCACCTGACCAAATACTGTAAACTATGGGGAGCAGGGGAGAACCCCATGGGGGTGCCTTTAGGGGACGTGCGAATCACTTCCTCATAAGACGTTTACCGGAGGCAGACGAGTCCTCTCCCCTGCGTGTTCAGTACAGAGAAGTAGAGTCATTTCCTAATATACGTCTAAGGGAGCAGAGGGGTCGCCGTCCTGCTGGTCACTACAGAGAAGTTGAGTCATTTCGTCATAGGCGTCTATGGGATCAGAGGAGTCGCTCCCTCGTGGTCACTACAGAGAAGTAAACTCTTTTCCTCATAGACGTCCATGGCCGCAGAGGAGTCCCCACCTGAAATTCCATACTGCGGCAGCAACGCGGGGGTCAGACACACACTGGTGGGGGCGGGGCTTGAGGGGGGGTTACCCAGTCTGGCGTAGATGTGGCTGAGGACGCGGGAGGGCTGCACGTGGATGGGGTGGATGTCGGCGACGGTCTCCACGGCGATGCCGTCCTTCAGCAGCAGCTCTTTGATCTCCTCGCTCTCCGCCAGAATCGACACTACGAGACGAGAGAAGTGATTCAAATAAAAGCTTTGGGTTTCGACAACGCGACTCGTGCGCTCAGAGCAGGAACTCGCCCTGCACCACCACGTCGGGCTTCGGGATGGTGGAGAATCGTCGGTTGAGGGGGTCGATCTCTCCGGGGGCGAGGAATCCCTAAAGAAAAAAAAAGACTGAATAAACACTAAAAAAAAAAGGTATTCGAGTGATTGATTAGCTACATTTCAGATCAGAAGCATCATTTGTTGATTCTTTCCTTCGAAAATAATCTGCATGAAATAAAATGATTGAACAACTGGATGATCCAATTAACTCAAATGTATTAAAACTCATTTCTTCAGCATTTAAAATAACAGAGCGGGGAGAGAAAAAGCTGCACAATCACATAAATAAATGGGGAGAAAACCTGATAATTTGGCGTATTTGGAGCTTAAGAATTCACTGTAAAGACGCCACTTTTCTGGAGAATAATAAAGTGCCTTTTTTCCACCGATGTAAAAAAATAACAGTAAAAAAAAAATATTTTTAAAAAGCGTTAAATTCTGTTTCTCAGCCCGTCGCATTGAGATTTTCTTTTAGACAAAACCTGCACATAAAATGCGTCCGGAAGCCAACGAACGCCGACCGCCACTGATCCAGCGCCGCTGAGGGACTCGCCTCGTTCAGAAGGTTCCCCAGGATGTACAGCGACTGTCCCCACTTCAGAGGACATTTGCCCAGCGGGACCCTCTCCACGGAGTGGGGGTTCATGTACTCCTCCTCCACCTTGTCCGCGGGGACGCTGTAGAGCTCCGGCAGCAGCCGCACGCCGTCCTTCTGTTTGATCAGGATGCCCTCCAGGGCCTCCTGGTACTCCTGCACCTGGAGCGACAGCAGCAGCAGTTCCCGTCACGCCGCCTTAAGGGGGGGCGGGGCGACGCGCGGGCAGGGGGGTGGGCGGGGCCTACCTGCTCGGGGCTGTTGATGAAGATGCCGTCCAGGATGAGGTAGGTCCAGAACAGCGGCCACTCGCACTCGATGTTCTCGAACAGCTTCAGCTCGGCCGACTCGTAGTACAGGCGGTTCGGGTCCTGGGGGGGAGGAGGGGTGGAGGGGGGGGGACACGAATCACACAACACGGGACGCTTGGTCCTCTGTGGGAGACAAACATCTGTTATCAGAACTGATCCGGCTGTTTACCTCTTTGGGCGTCTTGTGTCCGTCTCTGAGGAAGCGGCAGCAGCCGTATCGACCCTGAGGAGACGCACAGATGAGAAGCTGACACATCGGGGGGAGTCTCTCTTTGTTAATTGCGGCGACGGCGGCCGTTTCTCTGCACCTGCAGCTTGGAGATGATCTCCTCCTTGGTGACGTTGACGATGCTGATGTCGTCCACGGCGAAGGCCGGGTACGAGATGATGGCCAGCACCCCGGCGTCCACCTCTTTGGACATGGAGGCTTTGGGCAGCATGGAGGTCAGGATGGACTGATGGAGGAGGAGCCACAGTCACGCGTGTGCGTGTGCGAGTGAGCGTGTGCGCGTGTGCGTGTGTGCGTACCTGGCAGTGCTGTATGTCGTCAGCCAGCGCGTGCACCACGGACCCGGGTCCTCCTTTGGCTCCGAACAGGTTGAGGTCGTCCAGAGCCTCCAGAGCCGCCTGGAGGTCGCACAGAGGTCACGAGGAATACTCGACTTTTCTACTTGTTCCACATCCGTTTCAACAGCAACATTTCAGATCTAGGTCATTAATATTGTTAGAAATCAGCTGACACATGGTGCTGCATCGCTGAGACGCGTTTGTCAGAGTGATATCAGGTACTGCGAGTTTAAGGTCATCCACATGCTTAATGGTTTGAATGTAGGTTTAGTATTTCTGCACTTATATATAGTCTTAGATTAAAGTGTGTGTGTGTGTGTGTGTGTGTGTGTGTGTGTGTGTGTGCGTGTGCCGTGTTATTCCGAGGCGGGGGGCCGTTCCCGGGACACTGCGGAGAACCCGAACCCTTCCCCGAGCGAGAGTCCCGTCACATGTTTAATGTCCTCCAAATGTCCACGAGGTCTCCAGCTGAAGGTCCGGGGCGGCATTTCGTTGGTGCCCGCTGACCCCGGGAGCTTCTGTGTCCCTCACAGCTGATCCAGAGTCAGCGTGGAGCGTCTCGCACGGGGTCGGCCTAAAGGTCACCCGCCGTGCAGCTGCTCGCACTCAGCCCCCCCTCTGGCTGCTCGGTGCCGCAGCGCGTGTGTGTGTGTGTGTGTGTGTGTGTGTGTGTGTGTGCGTTAACCTTTGCCATGCCGATGGAGCTGGCGTTGATCTCGGTGATGCCCTGGTTGGTTTTGTCTCCTCTCTCCCACATCCCGTAATCCTGAGACCAGCCAGAAGGAAAGTTGTTCCATAAAAAATTAAAATAAAGATTCATTAATGGATTCGGGAGGTTTGAGTGTCGCCGTGACGACGGGCGAAACACATACGGCCACTTTGTAAGCCGCCTCAATGTAGAACATCAGGTTCTGAACGACGTCCACTTCATCCTGTGTGTAGACGATATGAAGACCTGGAGCGCACACACACACACACACACACACACACACACACACCATTAAGTCAATAGTCCACAAACTCCTGCAGGTGGAATTAAGACCTTAATGATCACATTTCTTCAACAAAATAAAAAACACTTCTTCTTCTCTGCTTTGACGGTCTGTGAAAAGGTTTATGTATATTTTTTTGTTTTGCACGTTTACCGGACGCGGTCATCTGAGCGAGGAAGAGGAGGAAGAGCGAGGTGGCGTCGACCTGCAGGTGACCCCACTCGTCGTCCCCGACGACCGTAGCGCAGGTCCCGGTGTTGTACTTGGCGTGCAGCGAGTCCGAGGTGCTCCTGCTGTATTTGAACTTCTCCACTTTATCCAGCTGCAGCGACGGGAAAACCAGGCAGGATGAACACCGACGGCTCCCTTGACCTCTGACCTCTGACCTCTGACCCGGATGAAAGACCTAAAGACGTACCTGTCTCATTATGCCCTGAAGGATGCTTCTCATCAGCTTCACCACGCTCTGGAGAAAGACGTCCACATTTGTCAAACGCGTCGCGACCCGGAGGTCACTGTGGACATGAGCAAGAGTGCACACACATGCGCACACACACGCACGCACGCACACGCACACACACGCACCTGCTCCAGCTCGTAGGCCTTGGCCTTGTCCTCGTCCCGGTCGGCGTTCTTCCTGTAGGCCAGGCTGAGCGCCCACACCGACAGGACGCAGTAGACGTTGTCTCGGACCCACGAGTGCGGCTGGTCCTCGCTGCCCGGCAGAAGACCCGTGACCGGGTCCTGTTGGGCGCGGAGGGGGTCAAAGGTCAGCTGGGTAACTGTGCGATGATGGGAGGCGAAGCGGCTCAAAACCGCTCATCAAAAAAAGTGGCTATTTGGTTTTGTTTCGGATAAAAGGAAATGTGGGACTGAGACTTTTATTTTGTCAGCCACAGAATAACATTAGATGCAAAATATTTATTTCTGAATTATTATTATTCTGGTGCATGTTTTCATTTTCTCTCCTGTTTTATTTGGAATTTTGGGAACTAACTAATATTTCTGATCAGTTCTTTTTTCTACAAACTGATGTTTTCTACTTGGAACAACGTTTGCATTGTGTGGAAACATAAAATATGTGTGAGACAAATCCAGTACGATGCATTTACTGCTTTGAGAAAACTTAATTTAAAGTGTTTTCCATGTGAAGGACAGCGCGTTACCCAGAAGCCCCGTTGCTTCCTGCTGCAGAGAGACGCGACGATCGTCCCCGACAGAAGAAATGCACACGAGGAAATGTGAGCTGTGCAGTAAAGACGAGGAACCGACGGAACCGGAGGAACCGAGTGTAGATTTATTCGTGCTGCCAAACTACTTTTCTTGAGGTTTAATTACAAGGATTTAAAATTGTATTCCAGCAGTCTGACGTCTTTTACAATCAGCTCACGTTCCATCACTGAAAGAGAGAAACGGGCCTCAACGCTGCACGATTAAAGCAGCGAGAGAAGCCGACATGTCAGACCTCCTCCTCCTCCTCCTCCTCCTCCTCCTCCTCCTCCTCCTCTGTGTGTGAAAGCAATAACTCGTGTGTACGGAGCCGTTTGTTTGTTTTGTTTACTCGTGTAACCTTTAATCGAGCCCCCGGCCCCACTGAGCCCTCATTAGCGAGCTGCCCGCTGGCCGCTCGCCACCTCGGGACGGACAGCCTGTCCTCGTCTCCTGTGGAACTACAACATCAAGTAGAAGAGGAGCGAAGGAGGCAGAGAGGACGCTGAGGGGACGCAGAGTGGACGCAGAGAGGACGCAGAGTGGACGGAAAAATACATTAAAAAGTTTAGAAAGATTTAAAAATAATCAAATGAGGGTGACGGTGATGTTTTCATTTCAGTGTTATTCTCTTAAACACTTTTTATGCAAAAAAAGGTAAATGTGTTGAGTGAACATAAGAAGTAGTATTTATTATGAATACGTCACAAACACAATAAATAAAAAATAAAACCAATTTCAAAGTAAACAATATGAAAGCTAAATAAATATATAATAAATGATACGGAATGTTGATATAAAAGACAAATAGAGCATGCGGTGTGTGTGTGTGTGTGTCCGTCCGCGTGCCTTGTGTGTGTGTTTCAAAGAGACTTGATGCGTTGCGCAACGCGCCTCCGCTCCAGCTCCCGCGTGCACTGACAACACGAGAGTCGGTGCTCTCAGTAAACAACAAACAACAACAAAACGACAGCAACATGCACGCACCTGGTGCCTCAGGATGGTTTGGTGCACCATCCGGGCGTAGTTGTCCAGTTTAACGCCGGAGTTGCTCCTGCTCCTCATGATTGACAGGTCCAACGGTTGAGCTCACTTCCAGAGGCGAGGGGGTCGCGGGGGTCGCGGGGGGGGGGGGGGGGGTCTTCACCGTGTTCCACGACTTAAATCCGCTGAATCCTCGACGGGGACGTCATCGTTGTGCGGCGCGTCTCGGCGGGCAGAGCGGGCTGAGAGGCTGCGGGTCACGGAAAAGAGTGCTCAAAGGCGGCGGCAGCGGAGGGGGAGGACCCGGCGAGAGCCGTGTAACCCGAAGCCGCGGCAAGCTGGTGCCGGGAAGCGGGAGCGCTACCGGAAGCTACGGTCTGTGGTCTTCAGAATAAAGGTGTCAGCAATACAATGAGATATAATTATCGAATTATTATATTATACGATGCCAAACGTGTGTTTTTATGAATATAAAATATATATGTAATTTATATGATAATGTATAGGATATGTATACAATGTGTGTCAGAACAATTACAATGAATAATATATAATAACTTACACACAATTTAAAGAAAGCAAATATATACATATGCATATAAATGAATCAATTTAAGTTCACTTCAAAGGAGTAACATTATACCTGGGGATTTGTACTGACAACCAACCAACTCAGTAATGGGACCAGAAATGGACTTCAGTGCTCAGCTGCAAATTTGTATTTTACTTTGAATTCCGTGACCGGAAATAGTAGCCCTCGCTTTGAACAGCTTGACTCTCGGATTAACACACTCCCAGCCCCCCACCGACACACGCTGAGTTTGGACATTATGGCAGAGGAATGTAAAACACTGGTTGAGAACAAATGATCAAACCTAAACAGTAAATCGTGCACAGATATTTTGAAGAATGCAACACACAAATAATACCACACAGCTGTTTTGCAGAACTACTTGAAAGTGGCTGCAGAAGCCCGCAGATTTAACCAGGAAACAAAAACAGGAAACAACGACGTCAAGTCAACACGTAACGTACATTTAGTAGTTTAGCAGGACATCATCAGTTGTGAAGATTCCGCTCTAAATGTGTTCGGTAATTAGGAACATTATAATGTTTTGGGGGTATGTAGTCCCGGTGAATGAAATGTGGTTAGTGATTGCCAGCTTTTTTTTGGCGCCCTCTAGCTTTAAGAACAGCGCATTTATTTAACTTCACTATATATTTTAAACACCCCACTTACTTTACAAATACTTTATAACAATTAAAAATATACAGACTAAAACGTGGTTCGTGGTCGTCAATGAGAACTTATCGAGAATGGCAACAAAAAAAGACTACAATAAATCCCAGAGTGCATCACGCGATGTGTGCGTTTCCCTCCGAAAACATCCGGCCGCGGAACGTCGGAGTGGATGTCGGTGACCGTTAGGACCGTTTGACGTAGCTCTTCGTTATTTTGTGACCACAGACTGTCGAAGTGTCCAGTAGAAAAAAAGATAAAAATATATTAAAGCGTGTTGTGGTTAAATATATAAATATATACGACGGTATTTCCGTCTGACGTAGCGGCGAGGTGAACTCCGCCGGGGAACCGACTCAACCCGATGGAGGGGGGGGAATGTTGACGGTGTAACACCGCACTTCAGAAGAAGAAGAAGACGCCGCCGCTCGAAGTCTCTTCACAGCAAAGAAAACCGTTGGTGCTGAATTCTCTCCCCGCCGATCATTCCTCATAACTCACGCGTCATAAATGAGTCACGGGGGAGCTCGCGATGACGACAGCTGCGGGAAGCGGAGGGTCGCGTACGTCTACAGCCCGGAGTACGTCGAGTGTTGCGACAGTCTGTCCAAAGTGCCGAACCGGGTGAGTCGGATGCGGCGCTAGCCGTTATAGCATTCGTGGTACCCACTAGCTGTTAGCTCTGCTCTCAACTGTTGCTGCTTGGGCTTCATTTCAGGCGAGTATGGTCCACTCACTGATAGAAGCCTACGGACTCCTGCGGCACGTCAGGTGAGTGGCAGCTAACGGCGGGTTTCTAACCTGAACAGAGTTAGCGAGGAGCTTAAAACCCATCTACGTTCGAGATGAAATAGTTTTAACGAACTGTACAGAATCGGTCTGTTTAGCTAGCTGCTAAACCGAGTGCTAATGTAGTATCGCTCTTACTAAATTGGTTTCAGTCGCAGCATTTTGTGTGTCTGTGCTTCTCTGAAGCAAACGGGCTTCTATCAAACTTTAGTTTTGATTGAAACTCCATCACACACCAACGAGGGCGTCCTTCTCATGCCAAACCTCCCAGCATGCACCTGGTGACGCAGAGTCCACTGCATTCTCAAAGCGATGTTTATTTGCTCAGATTTTGTGGCTTTTTTTGTTTGAATGTCATTCTGTGTATTTCCGTGGCTTCACGCTGAGCTTTCTGAAGCATCCGTTTTGTTCACGCAGTCATTTTCTTATTCCCCCCCCCCCTGCTCGCTTCTCTCCAGCACCATCAAACCTCAAGTGGCCACCATAGAGGACATGGCCAAGTTCCACACAGACTCCTACCTGGAGCATCTTCACAAGATCAGCCAGGACGGAGACAACGATGACCCCCAGTCGGTCGACTACGGCCTGGGTGAGAAAAGCCAAAAGGGAACAAAGATGTCTTCACAGTGGTCGTTGGAATCTCAGGCCCAGCTCCCGGAGGGTGTTGCAGCATATTTTGAGCTGGCAGCTCACTGGAGAACATTCCCTCACACATTTACTGTTTCAACCACACACAGATTTAATTAACAATGTTTTATGTTCTAGCTTTAAGTTGAGTTTTCATACACTGCTACTTTATCGGCAGCAGAGGGCGCTGTAACACCGTCAGAGATCCCAGCGTGGTTTGTTGTTCTTGGATGAGCTGCCTCCACCTCCTGTCTTACAAAAGTTTCCGTTTATGACTAGAACAATCCTCAAGTTCCACCCTGCGGTTTTGAGTTTCCTTGACTCGTTCCCTAGATTGATTCTCACCCTCTTCGTGTCCTCGACTTGTCCCTCCCTCGCTTACCTCTCCCGGGTCCATCTGTCTCGTGACACGAGCTACCTGCTCCACCTCCTTTTCTCCCATCAGATCAGTTTTCTCTGTTCCGTCCTTTTTGCCTTGTTTTTTCCTTTTCTTTCTCTTATTATTTACAGCCCATTGGTTTAATTGATTTAGCCTTAAGATAAGTGTATTTATGTTAAATGAGACGCGTCTCTTCCTCTCCAGGTTACGACTGTCCGGTGTCGGAGGGGATATACGACTACGCGGCGGCAGTAGGGGGCGCCACGCTCACGGCAGCCCAGTGTCTGCTGGACCAAAAGTGTGAGGTGGCCATCAACTGGGCGGGGGGGTGGCACCATGCCAAGAAGTAAGTCCCCCTGAATGTGTACTGAGAACACGCACACACACACGCACGCGTATCACACTGTGTTACGTCCCCGTCCGTCTCCACAGGGACGAGGCGTCGGGTTTCTGCTACGTGAACGACGCCGTGTTGGGAATCCTCAAGCTGAGGGAGAAGTACGAGAGGGTCCTCTACGTGGACGTCGACCTGCATCACGGAGACGGTAGGCACGGAAACGAGGGGATCGAACCCTTCCGCATTATTACGTCTAGGTGGATATCAACACAAAGCAACCAGATCCGCATCTTCGTTTCTCCTCGTCTCCCTCCAGGTGTGGAAGATGCCTTCAGCTTCACCTCCAAAGTCATGACCGTCTCCCTGCACAAGTTCTCCCCTGGATTCTTCCCAGGTCCTCCCCCGCAGATACCCACGTGCATGTTAGCGTTTATGTGCTGTGAGAGGGCGGGCAGTAAGACCGGTGTGTGCGTGCTTAGGTACGGGGGACGTGTGTGACACGGGCCTGGGTAAAGGCCGCTGGTACGCCGTGAACGTCCCGCTGGAGGACGGCATCAAGGATGACCGATACTACCAGATATTCACACGGTACACACGTGGCTCACACACACACACACACACACACTTATGCCATGTTTGAGTCAAGGATCCCCTTCACCTTCCCAGCATGCATCGCCGCTCGCTAACAACCTGTCCGCTTCTGACACGTTGCAGCGTGATGCAGGAAGTGCGAGCGCAGTTCAACCCGGAGGCGCTGGTGATGCAGCTGGGCGCCGACACCATGGCGGGGGACCCCATGTGCTCCTTTAACATGACCCCGGTGGGGGTGGGCCAGTGTCTGCAGCACGTGCTGGAGTGGCAGCTACCTACACTGCTGCTGGGAGGAGGTGCGCTTGTTGTTGTGTGTCCGTGTTTACCAATCTGATGTGTTTCATGTGTGTATATACGAGCTAGTGCTCCCAATGACAGGGAGATAATGTCGTATGTCCCCCGTGTTTGTGTTTGCTTTGAATCTCAGGGACTCCGCTGTTTGTGTACGATGACACACACACACACACACACACACACACACCCTGCTCTGTTCCAGGCGCTGAAGATGGCTGCTACTTCATACACAATGAAGCCATTTTCCTCGATGCGATCCCACCTCTCTTCCTCTCTGTCCCGCATACTTTCTGTCCGTTATGTCCTCCCCTCTTTCTCGGTTGCTGTCGTCCTCTTGATTTCACGCATCTTCTCTTTGTCGTCTGTCTGAGAGAAACACACAGTTTAGCAACTTCGCTTCTAGTTTGTTCTCACAACTCGGACACCAGGGGCTCAATTTGCCGACACTTATTCTCTTTATTATTCACTTATTTTCTCCCCATGTTTCTCTTTTTTTATCTCCTTCCCTTGTCTGGACTTTTTTGTTTGTTTTATCCTTTTAATTGACGATGTTCGCTGAAATAAAAGTTCACAGTAGAACTTGAGGTTTGCGTCTCCGGTGTGACACATGGCGGTGTTTCCTCTCCCCCCCCCAGGAGGTTACAACCTGGCGAACACGGCTCGCTGTTGGACCTACCTGACGGCGGCGGTGCTCGGGAAGACCCTCTCCTCCGAGATACCGGACCACGAGGTACCACATCACTCGCCCTCTCTCTCTCTCTCTCTCTCTCTCCTTCGGCCGCCCGGCGCGCACATTCTCATGTTCCCACGTGAAAAACAAACGCGCTCATTCATTGTGCTGTCGCACAAAATCACAGGCTAAAAAAAACCCCCACACAAACACACCCCCTTGTGTTCACTGTCTGCTGAGTCACCCCATCTAATCAAAGATGGCCGCCTGCGTCTCAATAAAGGGGTTTGTCTGCAGGTGTGTGTGTGCGTGTGTGTGTGCGTGAAGGGAACTAGTGTTGACAGTTCCTCTCTGTCTGCCTCATCTAACAGGCTCTTCTCTCTCCGTCTCACTTGGCATGAAGGTTGAATTGGATACAATTAGGATTAAAGGACAAATCCAAACTTTGATGAGTCGCTGATATTTGGCTCCATTTTGTCAACACGTTACGGAAGTCACTTCCCTTCCTGTGCGTCCTTACATCGGCGCTCCTTGTTGTTGTTGTTATTGAGGTATGTTGGTTTGTTTAGGCTCTTGTAGAGGCCTGTCAATCGCAATAAGCTCCGCCCTAAAGCAGGAACCCTCTAAATGACCACAAGTACACAATGCAGTCTGGCTTCATTCCTTTTCTCCAGTTCCCTGACGTTGCTCCGTCTCCGTGAACCATAAACACTCTTAAGTTAAACTTAGTGTTTCGACGTGATCGGGATGTAAACAAATAAACCGACTTCGTGGAAACACTTCTCGGATTTGCCTCCGGAGTGATGGAGACACCCGGTGATCTAATAGAAGAGACGTGCGTGATCTCCAACGTTGACGTGAAGCTGAATGCCGAATCAAATTCACTCCTCAGAAGAGCCGTCCGCCTCCTATATTCTCTCTCTCTCAAAGAGACTCTTTCTCCTGCCGCTGATTTTGGACAAATGTAATGAATAGCTGTGTGTGTGTGTGTGTGTGTGTGTGTGTGTGTGTGTGTGTGTGTGTGTGTGTGTGTGTGTGTGTGTTCTGACTGTGATGAAGGTGCCTCTTGTTCCTCCTTGTCAGCGTCCAATGGCCCTAAATAGCCTTTGACCTCATTAAGAAGCACTCACTGAAAACAAAGCAACTATCAGTCCGGGCAGCTGCCACAGACGACAAAGATGAGGAGACACGCACACACACACACAGACACACACTTCTTCAAAGCAACAAATGATCTAATGGATTCCTTCAACTTCAATGTTGCTTATTGGCTTTCAAATGTAGTAAGTCGTCTGTTTTAAAGGTCGTTTTTCTAACTAGTGTTGAAGTCCTGCCCAAGTCATTACAGGTGTGTGTGTGTGTGTGTGTGTCCCAGCCTGTGCCCGTTGTGCTCGATAAGAGGGGCATTTATCCATGATGACCAAGCAAAGCTGAAGTTCCAGCAACACGGGGAACAAAAACTACCTTTGTACCCTTTTGTGTGTGTGTGTGTGTGTGTGTGTGTGTGTGTGTGTGTGTGTGTGTGTGTCCACCATGCTCTACTGTAGAATGAATACACACATTCATGACAGATAATGGACTAGTGTGTTTTATAGCATTTGTTTGTGTGTTTCTTTGATAAGTTGGCCCTAATGTGGAGGAAACAATGATGCCCAAATGGGAAACTTTCCCTCACAAAGTCCCACAGAGTAAAAGTGGAATAAATGCTTTCATGTTTCCTCGTATGAAGAGTAGAGGGAGTCTGTTCTGGTTTGAGAGTGTCTAACAAGACTAGACTGCTTTACGGTCTGTGTGACTCTACACGGACCATCGTTTACTAAGTGAACATCACGTTGTGTTGAAGACTTGACACTGAGACCATAAACTGATGTTTACAACGTTTACTGAGGGAATAAATTAAGATTATGGGGCCAGAGTCGTCGCCCCCTGCTGGTCACTGCATAGAATGCAGTTTGTGAGCATCGCAAGCCAGAAATGTGTCCTTCACGAAAACCTAAAATAATAAATGATGCACCCTTTATTTTCAAACTGTTTGTTGAATCTACTCAAAACTCGCTTAAATCCCCAAGCATTTGTTTTGGTTTGATTTTCTTTAGAATATTTTGTAGAAAGTGTTTGTTTTTCATTTCCTCTCCGTACGCAGAGGGCGAGTCACACAAACCGCAGGACCATCGGTTAAAAATAGAGAAACAAAACATCAGTCACATTAACAATAGTGCCGTAATATTCTCTGATTACCAGACTAAATATTACCCTGCAGATCACCCCCCCGGTGACCCGCTCCTATCACACCTACTACACATCACACTTTGACAAAGTGCCTTTTGTAGTTGGAACCGGGACTCGAGCCGCGGGGGCGACTAGTCGCTGACCCCGGTTGACTTGTATTGTCTGATAGCAGGGAGCTCATCGGGATCGACCCCACAACTCCACAAATAAGCTCTCAATATGTATTTTTGTTCCAATATGAACCCGTACATATCTATAGAGGAGCTGCTGGGAGCAAACTGGGGGGAGACGAGCAAAAGGTTTGTGTAATGTCACAGGAATATGTGCCGTCTCCGAGGGACGCGCAGGAAGGGACGGCGTCTCTGCTCCCAGATTGGCAGAAGGAGGGAAGCGTCCCGCCTCTCTACTTCCTCTTTTCCTGTCTGCGGACACTTCCTGTCCCGCCCCTCGCCGCCGTCGGGGATGTGTTGGCTCCCAGAGTTGCTGGGCTCAATCGCCGGAAACGTCAGCGTGCGTATGTGCGTGCGTGCGGCCGAGGGGAATTTGTCTGTTGACTAAATGACATTGAAAACGTTCTGTGAAGAAGCTGATCGTTCTGCATGAAATCGAAGCAGGACGTGGATCCCGTCAGTTTAACATGTATCATTAATACGTTGATTCGTAACACAGACACTTTTCTGCTGAATCGAAGACGTTCTTCAAACTTCATGCAGGCTCGTCTGGTTGAATCTCACCCCCCAGGCAAACTGCATTTGATGCCTTAAAAGGAAAAGTGACGGATGAGCCCATTTGATTGACGTGATTTGGGCATCGGGACGCTTTTCTTTCCCCGTCGATACTTTCTGTGTCCTCGTCCCCGCTGAGGTCACTTGCTTCATTCATCGTCTTCTTCTCTTCCTCTTATTCTACCGGCCCGTCACCAACGAGACGAGTTCACCAGAGGAACGTCTCCTCAGAGTTTCTCTCTCGAGCTGCCCAGGATTTTCCAAGTCAAACAAGCGGGAAGAGTGTGTGTGTGTGTGTGTGTGTGTGTGTGTGTTTTGCTGGACAGCAGGAGACGGAGCACTGGGTTCATGGGAAACCATTGCGGGCGTGTGTGTGTGTGTGTGTGTGCTCAACATGAGAGGAACCACTCTCATGTTGAGCTCCGCAGAGGCCGGAGGTAAGACACAGAAAGTCATCGGAGATAATTGGAAACAGACACACACACACACACTTAAAGACACCATGGATATTGGCTTGTAGGCTTGTATTCACGTAAGCAAATATCAGCAAACTTTTCACACAAACACACACACACACACTTACCTTCATCTACACACAAACTAGCATTCTGCACACACACTGCATTCCCTCTCTCTGACTCACACACACACACAGGGCTATTAAACAAAGACAGAGTTGTCTTTGTCTTTCAAGTACACTAAAGTATACTCCTACTGCACGTTGGCTCAGCTCTCTGTGTGTGTGTGTGTGTGTGTGTGTGTGTGTGTGTTTGTTGCCCACACAGACGTTGTCTCTAATGACGTCCATCTAATCCTCCTGAAGGGCTTCGGTCCAGAACGAGATATTTCTCGTCTTAACCAAAACGGTACGAGGCGTCCGTGCAGAAATCATCACGGGATGTTTGCAGGATCCCTCGGCCCGACTTACAGGAGCAGGTCGCCTGCTTGTTTTGAGCGGCTCCTCCAGCGCCATCAGACATGCCGGCGCGCTTGCGGCGGTCGCGGCCCTCGGCGCTCGCGGCCCTCGGGCGTCTGGTTTTGCTCGCATGGCACAGAGTCACGGCCCCGAACACAATCCCTGCAAATATGCTCTGCGGGTCTCTTGGCTTGTGCCTGAACCGGCGCTCTGGATCGCCACCTGCGTTTTTTTTGCACGTACGCGCATATCGGCTGGCTCCGCTCACGGGGAAGCGCGAGATGCCAGGAGCCGCTGGTCTGTGCCGAGACCGTCTCTTCTCCTTCTGGCTGCGGACGTTTTGACTGATATGTGGTTTCTCTCTTCTGTGTTCTGCTTTTCATTTATTTCCCGTACGTGACCCCGACCGGCCCGCCAGTGCGGCTCGGAGACGTCACATGACCCGAAAGAAACGCGTGTCCATCTCAAAGTGTCCCATCACACTGGTGTCTCAGGCCCGAGGTCCTGACGGTCCCCTCTCACGCCACCCGTGAGCGTCACGTTCGTGTTTCCGGGACGAACCTCGGCTGGGGGCGGGGGGTTCGTGCTAAGTGCTAACGAGCTAGCACGAGGGGCGTATCTCTTTGATTACTGCTACTTTTGCTCTCACGGCCCACGGGTTCCTTCTGTATCGCTGCGTCCTGCAGCGTCTGTTCCCCGCGGGATGAGGGAGGCGCTACGTGTCCGTCCACTAAAGGGCTGTTTTATTTCCACCGACAGGCTCGAGTGTCTGACTACGTTGTGGAAATAAAATGGGTCTGTTTCTTCGCTCCGAGAAATCTCCTCCTGGAATCTTGTGGCCTCAAGCCACATTCCAGAAATGAGCTCAACATTCAGCCACACGGCGTTAAAAATCTCTCAAGACGACTGTAATCTTGTTATTGTGAGCCGCCACGTCAGATACAGCTTCACACACGTCACCGATCTGTCCTCAACGTCCCAACAAACGTTGCAGCCGAGCAGCTGTGCTCCTGCAGGCAGCGAGCAGAGCCGCTGAAAGTGGAGAAAAGAGACATTTAGAAACATCTGTCAATCTACAAGGTGTCCTAATCATCGCTGCGATGTCCAGTTCTTCACAGAGTACGGACCTGACTACTCGCTGGAGATCAGCCCGAGCTGCCGGCCGGACCGCAACGACACCAAACACCTGGACCAGGTCCTCAGCACGATCAAAGGTGTGTGTGTGTGTGTGTGTGTGTGTGTGTGAAGCCCTTTTGTCTGCACGGCTCTCTTCATGTCTGCTTTTGTGTCTCTTCTTGTTTCTATACGTCTGTGTGGGATGAAAGTAGGACTTGTTCTTTCTGTTTTCCCTCCCTGTGGCTCTTCACATCCTTTTGTGTGTGTGTGTGTGTGTGTGTGTGTGTGTGTGTTTAGCCATGTGGTTGATCCCCAAAGCTGACGGCGCCCAGCGGGGTCCTCGCTGGGTGAAGCCCTGGCGAAAAGTTGAGATTATTGTGAGGACGGGTGAGGTCGGAGCGAGGGGGGGGTTGCGGCGTCGGCGTCTACGAATGGGGTTCATCTTCAGACCGCCGTGATCACGGCGAGACAAAGTGCCGACGGCAGCGTTTCGGCGGAGCTCCTCCTCTGCTGGCGGCGAGCGGCCGCGGCGAGAAGAGGAAGCCAAGACGAGGGGAAAACAAATGTTATCCCCATTAAAGCGGACATGGCATCAATTAGCGGCTGAAAAAACCCCGACACGAGTTTAAACGGATCGTTTTACTGGAGCAGAGGAAAAGAAAAACGCCGGCTTCATCCAGCGAGCTCTCCTTCAAACCCGGCTCACCTCGAGTCGGGGGAACGGGAGTTCACTGGCCGAGGCTCGGTTGGCGCGCCGGCTCGCCGCCACCAGGAGGGGCCGAGAGTAATCGCTGGTTCGCAGTCATACGGCTTCTATTAGGGGCGACTGAGGGGAGGAGGAGGAGGAGGAGGAGGGGGGAAGTTTGCGGATGAGCGGAAACGTCTCGTTGTCCAGAGATGCATTGACTTTGCATGTGTTTATTCCCATCATGCACCTCTCCAGACCCCGTCGCAGCTGCTTCACGTTCCCTCCCGTTCGGTTCTCTCATGTCCTTCAGAATAGAAGCGAGTGACGTCTCCACGCGGCTGCTGAGCCACCGACAAGTGACGCCTTCTAGATATCTGAATACTTTGGGCCGCTGTCTCTGATTTAAAGAAAGACCCACAAGTCTGATGCGCACAAATGGACACACACACACACGCACGCCTCCAGGCCAACACACACATGACATCATCGGGGTGGATAAGTGTTTCTCTGGCTTATAAACATCGCTTTCCCCGAATAACTGGGCTGTGTGCGTTTGTGTGCGTGTGTGCGTTTGTGTTTTGTCTGCTGGCACCAAACACGCTGCTTGTAAACATTTCAGTCTACAAAACCTGCACAATATGAGCTCATTGCTGCTGTTTGCTGGTACGTAATTTTAATATAAAGATCTTCTCATCGGTAAGATCAGCGGGCCGACGCCGCGCCAGGCGTAGGAGCGTATTCGGTCTACGCGTCACCGGAGTTCGTCGCGGTTACTCACCGCCCACATTCATGCACCGCGTTGTCACCTCCACAAGTCAGAATATTGATGTAAATGTGCGTTTTTAGCCCTGAAAATGAATTGTCCTTCTTTTGGATCGTCGGCCACTTCTGCTCTTTCAGCTACTTGCTGACGTTGGCGCTCTTAACTGCTCCGCGTCCTCCTTCTATTGTCCCCTCGGTTTGAAAAGCGGCGGATCAGTTTGAGCAGCTTCATTTTCTGCTGCACGGGGGGACGTTCATGCAAAGTGCGTTTCCTAAGAAGACGCCATGGAACAATTCAAACAGACACATTCTCCTGTGGACGCCGACGCTCCTCCACTAAACTGTGGCTTGGTGACTGTCGGGTTGACAGCGCTGTGTGTGCGGGCACGGTGGACACTTTTCTGTGTGTGTGTGTGTGTGCGCGTCAGCGGGAAAATGCTGCGGCATGTTTACATCCTGCCTCTCGTACTTTCTGCAAACTCGCACATCAGCAAAATAAAAAGAAACAACACCGACATGGAGAATTACATCAGAGACGTTTTCGTTTAAACTGAGACGAGAGGGAACACACACACACACACACACACACACGCGCGCAGGATGAGACCCCCCCACAGGCGCAGTGATGGATTCATGTTTGCAGGTAGTAAATACCAGAGGCCCCCGCAGACACCCGTCACTTCAACATAATTTACCGTCGACATCTGGGAAGCCAGAGGAAGGGAGAACTGATGGGGGGCTGCAACCGTTTCATTGCTTCTTTCAGTCCATAAATAATCAGAGATATTCAAAAAATCTCAGCCTGGTCAGACGTTGACGTCAACGGTGTGACGGAAAGAATATCGTACAAACAAAACCCCCCCCAATGAAGCCAACGAAAGTTCAGATGATCAGTTTAGCTGGAAGCAAATATCCTGCGAGCTTATTTTGAAGTGAAAGAATCTGAGACTCCTTCAGTTTGCTGGCGAATCGTCTGTAAAGTGAACTTTCTCTTCTGGACTCGGCAGGTTTAAACCATCGCAGGAATCCGCCCGACGGTTTCAGCTATGGACAAAGTCCAGGAAACGCGAGCGGCGTTCTAGGTGTTGGTGCTGCAGACGGCTCGTAGCTGAAGCCGCCTGCACGCAGACACACACACGCGCACACACACACACACACACATGGTGTCGTCTCCATGAAACCTGCTGTGACAGGACTCCTCTCACGGCTCCACAATGGGCAACAAACAGGACATCCTCACTGCGTCAGGGCAATTACTCATCCTCTGCGTGTGTGTGTGTGTGTGTGTGTGTGTGTGTGTGTGTGTGTGTGTGTGTGTGTGTGTGCGTGTGTGCAACGTGTTTATTTTTCTTAATCTGGTCATTTAACGTAACAAAAGAGGAACAAAGCAGCATTGTTTGCACTTCAGCGCGTGAAGCAAACTGGCAACTACACATTGTAATGCAGCTATTGTGTGTCACACACACACACACACACATACATGTGCGTCCTGATGCAAATGAACTTGCAGGGCTGCTTAACGCTGTGATTTCCATATTGATTCCCCTTTTGCATGCGCGTGTCGTGTTTCCTCGGCCAGATGTTGTTTTTGTGTGTGTGTGTGTGTGTGTGTGTAATACAATTAATGTGTGTATTGTCGTGCATCCAACCTAACGTGATGAATTCGACCCTTTGGTCCTCCCTGTATCTGGACGTGTGTGTGTGTTCATGTATCCCCCCCGACCGTCTCATTTCTCTCTTTCTCTTGTTTACAGGGAATTTAAAGAATGTGGTTTAGGACTCGGCCTCCTCCTCCTCCTCCTCCTCCTCCTCCTCTCACACACACACAACGTGTCTCCACCCGGGTCCATGCTCGCCGTCTTTAATGAAGACAATATGAAGCGCACCCCTTCGGCCCCCGAGGCGCGGAGCAGACGAAGGCGGAGAAAAGAGGAGAGCGAGGAAGGTTTTTTGGAAAACATGAGCTGAGTGTTTCCAGTAGAAAACAGTTTAATAAGGAGGGGGGGGGGGGGGGGGGTCTGTACACTCTGTATAATCATTTAGTTTGGGGTAAAAGGTGTGTGTGTGTGTGTGTGTGTGTGTGTGTGTGTGTGTGTGTGTGTGTGTGTGTGTGTGAGAGAATGGAAAAGTTCAGTCTGAAGCGAATCTGCGTTCAGGTTTTTTTTTTTTTTTTTTAATCTTTCTCTGTTCAGTCGAATGTTTTAAAGATGTTTCTGCAGCTGTCCGGTTTCACGGTGACGTTCTGTGCTGCTGAGTCTCCTCCTGAGGGCCGACGAGCTAAATAACAACAGAATGCTTGTGATACTCGTCAAAGAACAAACAACGCAGGGCTGGAAAGCTCTGAAAAGTAGATTAGATCAATTGAGAGACTCTGAATGTTGAAAAAGATCCTGATACAGTTTTGATGGAGAAGTTGATTTGTTCTGGTAGAATCTGTTAATTCAACATCTGGCCCGAGTTTGTCATCATCTGTCTATGGATTAAATAACTAAATTAAACTTGCACTACTTTTTTCACCATTTAGAATTCCAAATATTTCATAAACTTTCAACGCGTTTTAAAATGAAAGCAGAAGGTCAATAAAGAGACATGGAAATCCCTCAACACGACCTCACTTCCTCTTTGTCCCTGAGTCTGCAGTGTAAACACTTAATGATAAATGAATCCATCCCCTTTTTAAATGGATCCGTCGTGTCGCTGAACACTCTGCAAAGTTGTTTTTGTAAATGCAAAGATCTCCGTTCTCGTTTTATTTGTAGGTCTTTTAAAAACAATTCTAAAAATAGCTGCAAAGTGCATGTGATTGTTTCCGCTGGTTTAACCCCTCCAGCTGTGTGATGTGACTGATGTGGAGCGTCACATCACACAGCTGCTCTTCAGACCCGACTCCTCACTTCCTCCAAAAAAAAGTTTGTTTCATTAAGCAACGTCACAGTTTGGGGCCCAATAAAAATTATCTGCACAATCAAATATCTCTTAAACTATAAACTAAAGGATATAAATGATGGGAAATCTCATTTAGCGGCAGGCTAGTTAGCGAGCTAACATTAGCCTGCTTATGCCACCAAGGTTTCATGCTAAAGTTAGCAGGATAGTTAGCTAGAAAACTAGTCTGCTTACGCAACCAAGGTTTCATGCTAAAGTTAGCGGGCTAGTTAGCTCGAAAACTAGTCTGCTTACGCAACCAAGGTTTCATGCTAAAGTTAGCGGGCTAGTTAGCTAGAGAACCAGTCTGCTTACGCCACCATGGTTTCATGCTAAAGTTAGCAGGCTAGTTAGCTAGATAACATTAGCACATTTGTCACGCTAAAGTCTGTCTTAACACTATTAAAAGTAACACCTAGCGTGTGCGTCCACCTCATAGTTTAGTCCTCTGAATGAATGTGACTTGTTATTTTGACTCCGCTGGAACGTGAAGTCTTTGGCAGGAATGTCTCTTTTTTTTTTGCAGCATGTATGTTGATGCATTTGTTTTTTTTTACAGAAGGTTTTTTTTGTTTTTTTATCTTTAACCAAGGGGCGTTTGTTGCAAATAAAAGACAGGAGACCATGTTGTTGTCACTGCGTCTCTACCCGGTGATTTACGACGTGTGCGCCGGGTAAAAGGGTCTTTTAATGGACCGCGTTTGAAAGAGGAACCACAAATGTCGGCCCAGTTTCCTTTAGAAGTGATGTTCCCCAAATTAATGGCCTGGAAATTCACACCAAATGTAGGCAGTCACCAGCCGGAGCTGGCATGTGCCGAACAGAAGCGCGTGTGTGTGTGTGTGTGTGTTGTGTGTGTGTGTGTGTGTGTGAGTGAGAGGATTCCCTGTGATCTTTATGAACACTGCTGCGGTCACCTCGGCGGTTTGAGCCCAACGTAGCCGGAGAAAATGAAACCCATTACAGCGTTTACGAGTTTGGAGAAGGAGAGACGATTGAAACTCTATCTCATAAACCGGTGGGGGGGGCGCGGGGGGCTTCACACGGTATCCGTGGAGAGGGGCTGTAAACCCAAGAGAGGTGGGAGACTCCGTCTGTGTGTGTTAAATCCGTTTTCATTGCACTGCAGAGTCTAATTAGAAAAACTCAAACTTTGCGACCAATTAAGTTGCTATTTTAGTTGTTTACAGATGGACACGTAGCCGAACAGAAGTGAAAACACTTCGCCTTTGTGGCGGTCAGCCATGTTCTTTGGTTCTCGTTTGCAGGGGAACACCTGGAACAACAGGTCCGCCTGCGAGGTCCACTGAGGAACCTGGAGAGCACCGAGGAAATGATGAAGACTTACTATGAATATGATGGGAAAAAAACCCACAGTAGCAACGTAGCATTAATGTAGCATCCACGTAGCCTTAACGGATCATCAACGTAGCATGAATGTAGCATTAGTGCAGTATGTTGTTTACCATGATGAACTCATGTCAAAATGCCATAGGTTTAACTTGTTTTTTTTGTTGGAAACAATTGGTCCTGTTAAGTCCACTTTAGTCCTGTTAGGTCCAGTTCAGTCCTGTTCAGTCCTGTCTAGTCTTGTTTGACTCCTATGGGGAGGAGGTTGCTTCCCTCTGCCAGATGTTGAGCTGTGATTTGCCTCTGATGTGACAGGAAGTGATTTTTGTTCCCACCAAGTCAGAGAAACGCGATGACCGCGGGGCCGGGTTTCGGTTGTCTGGCAGGTTCCCGTCATCACGGCTCTCCCGTCGTCGTGGTTTTGTTGTGCGCGTTGTTCTGAACGCACCTTCGCGGCCACGAGGCCCCGACGCATCCCAACGACTTTTATGCAAATCAGCGCTCCGAAGGGCCCCGGCCGCCTCCTGCTTTGAATAGTTTCTCATCTGACCTTCGCTGTAGATGAAGCCTCGTCCCCTTGTCTGTTTAGACCCGACCCCCCCGAAGTGCAAAGAGCTTTTTGTGTTTCAAAGGTCGCATCACTTTTTATTGTCCATAAACTCCTGAGTGACCAACAAGCTATAAATATCAGTCCCGCTCAGTTTGGTTTGATTTGCATAACGTCTCCTGGAGGGGAGGACGGGTGGGGGGACGGGGTGGGGGGGGCTCCTTCATCAGCATGTGAAGTGTCTGCAGTCAATGGGCAGGACGGATTTACTCTCACAATAAAGACAGATGCCACCCTTTTATCTGCTTAACGGAAGAGAGGCGGGCGCGTGGCGCCCGGGAGGGAATTTCGCCCTCCGGAAAACAGAAATGTGAAATGGTCTTGGGGGGGGGGGGGATTTTCCCTTTACCCAACCCCCCCCCCCCCCTTCAAAGCGGCCTTTTGTTTGACCCTTATGCATGAAGGAGGAGAAGAGAAGCGGGTTGAACATCCAAACATGTCGTTTCCTTTCTTTGTATCTTCTGATATTCAGCAGAAAGTCTTATTTTTGCCTCTAATGACGGAATACAAACGAGAAAAGAGGACGTGGACAACAATGAATTCAGACAAAATCAATGAGAACAAGTTGCAAAAAGGTGTTTGACATGTTTAATACCAATGAAAACCAACAAAAGCTCATTTAAATCAAAGCAACTATAAGTACGGGAACCTTTTAACAGTTTGAAGTGGCTGAGAAGGGTTTCTTAGGCCTAATGGGTTCATTCATTCATTCATGTGTTAACACGTCGTGGGACACCAACCGCACTGAGAACGTTTCCTCTGACGCCATAAATCACTCTGTACCTGCACAGAAGACACGAGGACGTGTCCCCCTCCCTCTCTCTCCCTCTCTCTCTCTCTGGGTGAGAGACACTGACAGAAATGGTCCATTTGATGGAGTTTTCGATTCAGATCCCAAACTCCTGATTACACCCGATGGTTTTCTTGCTCAAAGACATTAAGTATAAATAAAGTTAAAGAAAAGACACATAAAAACACGAGTTACAGGAGCAGGATTTTTTTTTTTATCATTTATTTTTATTTTATTTTATTGGCATATGTAATTTAAATGTAAGCATGATCCTTGATTCAGAATTCCCCTCCATTATTCCTTTGGCCCCGCCCACTTGCCCCTCCTGATCCTCCGTCGGTCCGTTTCCTGGTTTTGGGAAACGCGCGCGCGCGCGCCCCCTGCTCGGTGAGGCGCGCGGCGCTGCGCGCCCCCCGCCCAGTAGCGCGCTGGTCGAGCAGCGGACTGAAGCTCCGGCGTCTCCGGTGCAGCCTTTCAAACCAGCCTGACGCCGGTTCCCCGCGCTGGTGTGGACGCTCCGGACCGGGCCGGACCGGGCGGGTTCCTCCTCCTCCTCCCAGGTGGGTCCGGGTCCTCTGCGGGTCCTCCAGTGTTTGCAGCCTGTTTGTTTCACCGGGTTGTATTTGAGTTTGTTTCCCCCGGTTGTTGTTTATTTGTTGTTGTTGTTGACTCACATCGTTTCACCCGTAAATCAATGACACCAGCTTAATATTCATTTGAGTTTTTATACTTAAGTGATGATATATGTACATTGTTTAAGTACAAATACAAAAATAAAGGTAAAACAAATGTGTAGATGATGCATTAATGAAACTATTGCACGAGTTGTTGTTGTTGACTTTAAGAACTTATTAGTGGTGTTTGTTTGAATACAACAGCCCGCTGTTTGTCTCCCCGTCCCGCTGCGCAGCACGTGCTGCGTGAAAAGGGCTCGTCACGCGTTAATTGTGTAATTGAGAAACCTGTTGTTGTTGTTGTTGTTGGTTTGTGTAGAGCGGGAAGTTGTTGTGCTGTTTTATTCCGCCTCCTCCCCGTTTGCGGGACAGATGTGGTGATTCGGTAAATCAGCTGTAACGGAGAGAGATTCGTGAGGATTTATTGTTCGTTTAATGCGCCTCATAAAAGGTGTAAAACAGGTCGCTCATTAAATGTCGTTTGACGGGACAAAAACAGGCTGTTTAAATGCTGCATGCTGAGAATATTTAGCATTTTTTCCCCCCATAAATGTCTGAAATGGTGAAACCGACTAATAAACTAATAGATTAATGGATTCATCTTGTTTCCACTCAAATCTCCTCTTAAACAGATGTGATGAGATCACTTATATGCTTAAATATTCAGATAGAATTAGATTAAACTAAGTACATATTCCTGTCCCCTGTGCACGTATTTCATGTCAGTTATTGAGGATTCTTGTTTTTAAGTCTTTTGTTTACATCCAACACGCTGGATGACCTCATCCTACCGTCTGCAGATAAATGTGATCGAACAATAACTGAACTATTTTATTTACGACTAGAAGAAAAACGTCCAAATCGTTCGTGCAAAACGGAAAGATCTTCTTTTAATACCCACAATGCCTCTGGTTTGTGACCAGATGTTTGGCGCTCTGTGTGACGATAACGATACAGGTGAGGCAGGGACGAGCGTTGTGTGTCTCTGCACACGAAACACGTCGGTTCCTCGATGAGGTCACGAGCTGTGAGATTGTGTTGCAATTTGTCATCTCGCTGGTTCTGTACAAAATACAGCTGGACGTCTTAATTGGATTTTTATACATTTCAACTACTGGCGGCTTTAAACTCGATGATACGAAATGATATAAAATGAAAACATTGCTAATTACTAAAATGTAAAATAAATAAATAAATAAATGCACGTTTGTATTCTAGTTTTTAGGAAACGTGTATTTGTTTGTGTCTCCTGGACTCAATGTGCTGGAAAGCTGTTGGGCAGAAGCAGCATGTGCAGCCGGCCAGACGGTAATCAGTCAGTGAATAATGAGCGCACACACACACACACACACACACACCGCTCATTGACAGCTGTTTGGTATCTTTGTGTGTGTGTGTGTGTGTGTGTTAACTCTATCAGCGGAGTGCAGCTGCATGCCGGCCTGTAGCAATTATGTCCTCACTAAATACGAGCCTGTGTGTGTGTGTGTGTGTGTGTGTGTGTGTGTGTGCGCGCGCACACTAAGTGATTGACTTACTCAAAGGATAGCCGCATGATGTGTGTGTGTGTGTGTTAAAGCGCACACGCTGTTTGAACTGTGTGTAATACACACCAGCTCGGGGACTTTAACGTGAGCCTCTCGGAGTGTTTTCAGACAGACACACACACACACACACACACTCACTATCAAACACGCGCTTTCTCCGTGTGTCGGGCTTTACACAACACACACTTTCTTCCACACGCACACACACACTTGCTCAGACACATGCTCTGTTCTCAGGGCGCATATGTATTTATCCCAACATGTGACCCGATCGCTCTCTGAGATCCTCAAAGGCTCTGTTGTGTTCACACACACACACACACACACACACACACACACACACACGCAGACCTATAAACGCTCACTAACCCCATTAGTAGCCACAGGCCTTCTCACGGTTAATTTGCTGCTCAATAGGTCAGGAGGAAAAGCAGACATCCAGCAAACACGCACACGCGCACACGCTTGAGTCATGCGGCTCGGCTGCTTGTGCGTCTCCCGGACAAACCACGACGCCGGTGATCCAAGGAGTCATCAGAGCGCCTCTCGGGGGGGGGGGGGGGGGGGGGACACCGGCGTGGTCGTGGCGGTCCGAGGGAAGCCGCCCGTTTTGGCCGTCCGTCCTCTGAGGGAGTGTGAAGGAGACCGAACCCAGCCGGCCTTCTTCTGCGCTGCTCCTCTTCCTCAGTTGCAACAGAGGTCCCATGGAGATGATATGAACTCCACACAGGCGGAGAAGCTTCCTAAATACAGGAAACGCTCCAAAGAATGTTAAGACCATTTTGTGTGGGAATGTTCATTTGCTAAGCTAAGCTAAGCTAATCACCTGCTTCACATTTAGCACAAGAAAATCGGAATGTTTCCAAATATCAAACGTAGACGCAAACTTTTTATCGTCACGTCTGGACCGATCCAGTCTGGTGTTAGGCGACCTCTGACCTCCACGGCGTAGCCTCCGTCCCCTCCTGTCCCGCTGTGATGACGTCTCTTAACGCCTCCTCTTTCCCTGCAGGTGTTCCACCTGGTGATGACCTCGCTGCTGTTCCCTGGCAACGCCCCCGCGCTGCGATGAAGGACCTCTCCTCCTCGTCCTCGTCTCCTCTGGGCTCCCTGCTCCACTACCCGTCGTCCAAGACCTCCGCCGCGCCGTTCTCCCCGTCTCCCGCCGCCGTCTCCTCCTCGTCCTCGTCCCCCTCCCCGCCCGGCCTGTCGCTGCCGCCCCCGGCGCCGCTCTCCAAGCCGCAGCCCTTCTGCCTGCAGACGGGGCCCCACCTCCTCGCCAGCATGCAGCTGCAGAAGCTCAACTCGCACTACCAGAGCCTGGCCGGCGCCTCGGCGGGGCACTCGGCGCCCGCCGGCTCTCTCAAGGACTACGGGGCCTCGCCCTCTGGGCCCGTCGGGAACCAGCTCCTCGGGGCCCCAGGGGGCCTCGGCGGGAACCAGAGCGCGGCCCGGCGGCTCATCGACTTAGTCCGGTGAGAAGGAGGTCACCATGTCGCTGGTGGGGAAGCTGGGCCTGGACCGGACCAACGAGCTGCTCCGAGCTGTGCGGGGCCCAGAACGAGTTTGTCTTCATGGCCAACGTGCCGGGCGGGGTGCTACCCCCCCCCCTGCCCCCCCCAGAGGCGCCTTCCCCCCCGGGCAAACCCAAAGAGACGCTCGCTCGGGGACTTCACCTTTCAGGACCAACGACGGAGAGACAAACTCGTCTCCGGCTGGGTGGATTCAAGAAGTCTCGCCTTTTGTTTCTAATTTCATTTTCCCTCCAAACGCATCATCGGAAGAGCGAGCGGCGGAACGAGGAGGCGACGGGGACCCGGCAGGTCCGGCCTTCGTCCACGCCGCTCCGTCCGGAGGAAAGGGAAGCGAGACTTCTCCTCCGGTTTGTTCTTGGAGGACGTCTCACGGGAAAGAGACTCGCGCCTCTCGCTTTCACAAAGACACCGATTGTCCGAGGACTGGTTATCTCAACGTACTCGTCTTTCCCCGTGTGTGTGTGTGTGCGTGTGCGTGTGTGTGTGTGTGTGTGTGTCGTATTCACAGAACATGTTATTTAAGACAGCGGCTGATATGCATCTGGACCTCTGGACAAGCAGCGCCTCTCTGAGCCTAAGGGGGGGGGGCGGGATCCTGGATGCCGCTCAAACGACCCCGGGGCCTTTCACGAGGTCGCGCCGTGCTACGTGGGGGGTGCAAGGACGTTGACGTGAACCCGCGTGACCTTTGTGCTTTTTTTTTTTTTTTCTTCCTGTTTTTTGATTGTTGTGTCAAAACAAGTTTGTCCAGCTCCAAAAAGTTGTTATCGTCGCCACAGTCCCTCGTCTTCGTCACGGTCCCTCGTCGCGGTCGTTCGCGGTGGAGGCCGGCGGCCTCCGAGCCGAACCCTCTCGGTGGTTTTGGGTTCGAAGCGAACCCTCGATCAGCAAAACTCTCAAAATAAACCTGTTAGGCGGCTAACCATCTGCTCAGCGTTTGGCTTCCTGCACAAACTAGCGTTAGCGTTAGCGTTAGCTGCACGTGTAGCACGTTTTGCAATAAAAAGCCTACCGGAACAACAACAAAAAAGTCAGAAAGACTCGATTGATTTGTGTCTTTTATCAGCGCATCCATGTTGTGCTTTGAGTTCATAAAGACAGAAGAGAAACGTCCCCAGTTTAGTTTGACCTTCCTCCAGTTACACACCTCGGAGGGAGACGTGTGTGTGCGTGTGCGTGTGTGCGTGTGCGTGTGCGTGTGTGTGTGTGTGTGTGTGTGTGTGTGAGATGGGAAACAATGAGCAGCAGCAGGACCACATGGCGGAGGGAAAAAACCTGGCGTTCCTTGTTAATTTATTTAGATACACAAGATGCACGCAGACAGGTCAGCTTACACACACACACACACACACACACAGTTCACAGGGGCTATTTGCTCACACAGACACACACACACGCGCGCTGCTTCATGCTAGTTTTTGAATGTAAATGAGGGTCTCTGTTTCGGTAATTCTACCACCCTTTCCTTTCCTGAGAGAAACGCGAGGAGCCGCGATTGATGAAGGACTGACGAGGGACGAACCCGACAGACCGTCTCCCTCAAAAGGGTTTCCGGGGGGGGGGGGGGATGTGGGACAGAGGACAGAAAGACGCTTCTGGTCGCCTCCAAATCCCACCAGACGGGTTCTCGTCTCGCTGCCTGAGTGGGTCAAAAATAACGTTCTTCAAATTGAAGACAAGACTCGTGTTTGTTTCCATCTGCTCCACATTGTTTTAAGTTGTGTGTGTGTGTGTGTGTGTGTGTGTGTGTGTGTGTGTGTGTGTGTGTGTGTGTGTGTGTGTGTGTGTGTGTGTGTGCGTTGCTTCGTGGTCCAGCCTCGTCCCAGCTGAGGGAATGTTGTTCTTGCAGCGTGAAGGCCTCCTCCTCCTCCGAGAAGCTGGAGATGTTTGAGACGTCTGAGAGAAGCTTTCATTTCCTTTCCTCCGCGACGGCCGATAATGCAGATTAACCCCGGCAGAGACCTCGTGAACACAAACACACACACAACAAACCTGGCGGGGATCTGGTGTCTGATCGCAACGTGACGGCGTCCTGGACGATGCTCTGTTTGCTTTCACATGACGTCCACGAGATGCCACTAATAGAAGACGAGGAGACACAAGGAGGAGACACAGAAACACCAGAGAGAGGCCGTAAAACGAGCACGCAGAGACACACAACAGGACCAATTTACACAAAGTGACCTCAGAAACAACTAAAAAGAGACGACAAAAAGACCAAAACAGCCAGAAAGACACCAGGACAGCAGTAGAAAGACACAAAATCCAACAAGGGGTGAGAAAGACACAAGACAACAACAACAAGACACACAAAATGACCACAAAGAGATAAACACAACCCCCCCCCCCCCCCGCTCGCTCTGCTGCCGGGTCGCCTCGAGAGCCGAAGGAGACTCGCACTGATTTATTCTGTTTTAATTTCTTCATATTTACTTTAAAACCGGTAGATTATTTGGTTTTGTCTCTTTTCTTTATTTGTTTACTTCTAATAAAATGAATATTATTCAAAGATGATTATTTTTACGCACTTTTGCTCACTTGTACATCTATATGAAAATGTAAGATCATATAAAAAAATGTAAAAAGCTTGTATTTTTGTTACGAGTTCTGAGGGGAAATAAATCAAATGAAAACTGAGCTGGTGTGAATGTCTTTTTATTGAAAGTTATTTTATAGTCATATTTTAAAAGGGTTTTCTTTTAACACACGTTTTAAATAGAATATAATTAAATGTGTAATTTTATATTTATATTAGCCGTCATGTGGTGGTAAGTACAAGAATACATTGTGTTCATGTGCCAAAAACACACAACGACTTTCAGGAAAAATCCTCAGAATTTAAGATTCAAAATAAAAGAATAATCCGTTTGGGAATCCTCAAATTGATTAATAAATTATATTCCTCTGGTGTCCTTACTGTTTAGTTTAGTTTTGCAGATTAACTGTCTTTGGAGTATTATTATTATTAGTATTAATACTATTACTACATACAGGAATAAAACAAAGGGAACCTGGCGCGTGCTGCCACCTGGTGGTGACGTCAGGTTTCGCTGGAGAGGATTTGTAAACCAGATAATAAATAAGAATGAATAAACGATGCAAGATTTACCTTTAAGTCTTAGTGGGGGGGAACCATATAGAAGGAAATACCAAAGAAAGTATTAGTAGCTTGAATTAGTCAAAGACACAAATAAGGACAGTGATTATATGATATAAATATCCTGTTATCTTTGTAATTAAGATCATTTTAAATACAGTGTACAACAAAAATACACATATTGTAGAAAACCTGACCTTTCTTGGAGAGATGATCCTTATTGTACCTGTAATTTACTTGTTGTACCTGCATTGTTTACTTTGATTGATTTTATAGCCAATATAAATTCATTTTTTTATTATTTTGAATTTGAATTCTAGTTATATACACACACATCCTCTGTGATGGAGGCTTATTTTAGTTACTTGAAGTGTGTTGAGTGAACTAACTTAATTAACTAACTTAACTAACATGGAAATAAGTAACGTACAAGTTTGTAAATATTTAAACGTTTACTACACTACATTTATTTTGAAAGATTCATCTAATTTATAATTCACAATGATGTATTATATATAATTGGGCGCGATAACGCGCACCGGCGGGACATAAACCGCTCCGGTCCTCGGTGTTGACGTACTGCGACCGTCGGTGCGTTTGTCCCTCCCGCGCTGCCGTAGCCGCCTTATCCGTCTAAACCGGAAGCCGGGAGGTCCTTTTCCCCGCAGACTCCAACATGGTGAGCTGTTCTCCTTCACGATTCCTCTCTGAATTAATCACTAAACATCACTTTTCGCTGTTGTAATATTGCAAACATACACGTCCTGGGTTGAAATTCCACGTGTTATTAGATGGCCGATGTCTAAATTGTAGCCAGAAGTATCGACGATCGCACTTAATTGAAGATTAAAAATCTGATCTCACCCTCACGGCTTGCTAGCTTGGCCGTGGCTATTTGTGTTAGCTTGGTTAAATGAACGCGGGTTTATTCTTCAGTGATTAGGTGTCTTTCTTACGTCGCGGCATTATGAGACGTGTGAACGTTTTCTGGAACGACACGTGGTGAATGTTCACTGATCCATTTAGACATTTAAAACGCAATCCGCTAAACGAATGCTAACATTAGCATTGCTAGGCCGCGGCTAACCTGCATTCATTTCTGCGCCACGTTAGCATGCCGTGCTAACCGCACCGACCCGAGCGCAGCCGACATTTCCCGGGGGCCCCCGCCGGAAACACGCCGCTGAAAACGCGTCCACGGCTCTCCCGTGTTTGGCGGTCCGGTCCCCGCCGGTTGTTGCTCCTGTAGTTGACCGGTGTTCCCCTTCTTCCTCCAGGCAAGAGGTCCGAAGAAGCACCTGAAGCGCGTCGCGGCGCCGAAGCACTGGATGCTGGACAAGCTCACTGGAGTTTTCGTAAGTAACATCTTCTTGTATCCACGTTTTTAACTCGTTGTCTTTTCTCTGCAGAGGCAGCTGCCAAAGCAGTGATTGTGTTTGTGTGTATTCCAATATATCAGAATAAACTTAACTCGTTTGTCACATTAAACTGTGTTAAAGTGCTGAGGGTTTGTCTCTAGTTGACGTGACATGTGTCTAATTGGGTCTGATCTGCATCACATCCTCTTAAAGTCACTACGACACCAGCAGGTATTAGAAATAATGGAGGTTTGTTGCGTTTTCTTTCAGTGGCTGAAATGTGTTCAGCTCAAAATTAGTTAATTCTTATTAATCCTGCAGAAGAGTAAATATTCATTCAAGGGACATTTGTGAGAATTTGTCAGGCCCTTGATAAAGAACTGTGAGGGATAATAAGTGTGGCACGACTGTTGACCAAACATCAGCACATATGTTAACGTCTGACTGATTTAATGTGACTTTTAGGAATTGCAACTGCAGTGAAACCGTAAACTGTCGGTCACCTGAACAACTAAGAGCAGCTGCAATTATTTCCACAGCTTAAAGTTCACCAGCTGTTTTACATCCCGGAATAAACGTCACAACCATGCAACATTTTGACCTCGCTATTAACGACTAGTTCTTTAAATAATTGTTATAAGCAGGTGTTTTTAAATGACACTTGCAGAGTAGTTTCCTCCAAACGAAGCTGTAGAAGACCAAAGAATAACTGTCCATCCTGCGGTTTGTACCCCAGGCTCCTCGTCCCTCCACCGGCCCCCACAAGCTGAGGGAGTGCCTGCCCCTCATCATCTTCCTGAGGAACCGTCTGAAGTACGCTCTGACCGGGGACGAGGTGAAGAAGATCTGCATGCAGAGGTTCATCAAGATCGACGGCAAGGTCCGCACCGACATCACCTACCCCGCCGGGTTCATGGGTGAGTGTCGGCGCACAGCTGCTGCTCGGATGCAGTCAAAGGGGTTGTTTGGGTCAAGTAGGTCTGTTGTCGTCGCTGGATGTGGGGATTGAACGTTTCCGTCAGGTGTTCGTAGGCAGGAGGAGCAGTGATGACTATTTGGTTTTGATCAGCAATGAGCTGAAACTACACGACCGATTCCTCTAAGAAGTTCTGAGCTCCAGACACGACTTTAGTGTCCTCATCTCTTTGTTTTAGGGTTGTTTAATAATGACGTGCAGCAGTGTGGAGACAACGTGACGTTAGACTGGTCGACTGAGTCTTTAGCAAAGTGTCTCTTCGTGGTTTGTAAACTCGACCGTCTTGGTGGTCAGTTCGCTCTCTGTACTCGAGTTGGTTGCTTTCCTCATAGCAAAACAATACAGCCATATTGGAAATATTCCGCGTTGTTGGCGTTCTGTTTTAGTTCTGTAAAGGTTAGAAACCGATCATTTGCAATCGCCACAGAGGCGACGTGAGCTAAACGCTGTTGGGCTTTTTTTTCTCCATATTTGTACTTCTGAGAAACAGCCGAGCATTCTACTTCACGTTGATGTTGTGAACGGGGGACGTGGCTTTATTGTTGACCGGCTCACGCTGGGTGTAAACCGCCTCCGTGTGGCCATGTGGCGTTTTTAATTTCCCGAACACGAGGGAAGCCGCCGCGCTGCCAGTTTGTCCGCGCTGCACTCGGCCTCAGCGATCACCGCGGCGCTTGTCAAATAAGAGCTGTTGTTAATTGCATATTAAAACGCTGTAGTTGAAGACGAAGCCTGAGTGCCGTCGTGTTTCAGACTTTTCATGCGTAGCCGTTTTAATTTGGCTACGACAAGACGGCAGAAGTTCAGTGTTAAAAACATCCATTTGGATGCTGAGACCTTTCTTTCTTTCCTTTCCAGATGTGATCAGCATCGAGAAGACCGGCGAGCACTTCCGTCTGATCTACGACGTGAAGGGACGCTTCACCGTCCACCGCATCACCGCCGAGGAGGCCAAGGTAAGAACCGGGTCACGGAGCGGCTCCTAACAAGGTCCAGACTTCTGCTGCCTGATTAACCAGCTGAGCTTTGAGATGATTTGGGACGATTCTAAACGGGTCCAATCGGCATGCGAGGGTCACGGGTTTGGTTTCTGCCTCTCGTCAAATGAGATCAGCTGTGTTTCACACTGGTTTAATCGTTATTCAGCCAAAACAAAGCTACAAATATGATATTTATTGTATTTTATTCTGCGTTTCATTTAAACTCTCGTCACAAATAAACATTTTTACTCAAACCAGATTTCTGGAAAAATGTTGCATGAGATGCGTTCTCGTAAAATAAGATTATCAAATAAATTCAACCCAACAAAATTATTCTTTTGATTTATGGCAGTAAAACTATGAACCTACTTCCTGCCTTAATCGTTCAGTTTCCATGGAGACGTCTTACTTTGATGTTACTGCAACAAGCTCTTCTTCTCTATTCATCACCGTAACACAAACCCTCCTCTTCCTCCTCCCACAGTACAAGCTGTGCAAGGTGAAGAAGATCATGGTCGGCACCAAGGGGATCCCCCACCTGGTGACCCACGACGCCCGCACCATCCGCTACCCCGACCCCCTGATCAAGGTCAACGACACCGTCCGCATCGACCTGGACACCAACAAGATCACTGAATTCATCAAGTTTGACACCGGTAGGTTCACCGCAGCTGGAAATGACTAATTAGGAACTATTGCTTTGTGTTCCACCCGTGAGAAGGATCTGACCCCCCCGGCTCTCTCCAGGTAACCTGTGCATGGTGACCGGCGGCGCTAACTTGGGGCGTATTGGCGTGATCACCAACCGGGAGCGCCACCCCGGCTCCTTCGACGTGGTGCACGTCAAGGACAGCACAGGCAACACCTTCGCCACCAGGCTCTCCAACATCTTCATCATCGGCAAGGTGAGGCAGGGCGGGAAGGAAGATCCACCCGCAGGTGGGGGGGCGGCTGAAGTTGTTTCAGGATTCAGGCGGAGCGATGATGATGTTTTTTGGTTTTGAGCAGCACTGAAAAAGAACTACCAATTCCTCTAAGAAGTTCTGAGCTCCAATAATCATTTCATTGACTTTACTTCAGTTCTTTCATTGTTGGAGAGATGTGTAAACGCTGAAGAAATGGTGCCTTGTTAGCACGTAGCATGAGCTGATGATCCGTCTCGTCTCCAGGGCAACAAGCCGTGGGTGTCCCTGCCCCGAGGAAAGGGAATCCGTCTGACCATCGCCGAGGAGAGAGACAAGAGGCTCGCCGCCAAGCAGGGCAGCAGCTAGACAGGACGCAGAATAAAACTGTTATTTACAAAAACACTCTGCCTTGGTGTTTGTTTTCATCACACTCGAGGAGGAGGAGGAGGGTTAAACGTGCTGTCATTCCTCTCATCCCACCTTCGTTTGTTTGTGTCACTGTTTCCTTCTCCCTCATAGTTGGCGTTTCGTATCTGGTACATTATACGGCCCAACGAAACCCAACGGCTGGCCGCTGTTGGCTGAATTCGCTAGCTACCGGCTAACGTTAGCTCCAACAGAAGCCTCGTATGATAATAAAGTGTCATTTATGACGTGTTCTCCGTAAAACAATCACGTGTGTTGAAAGACTGTTTTTCCCCGGTCGTTGTATCCATAACCCTTCAGACGGACCCGCTAGTCTGGAAACCGCATCTTTCAATCGTTAAATAGATTTCACATGACGGCGGCGCTACAGACTTTTCCTGCCGGTGTTTTTCAAATGACACAATGTGCTTTAGAAGGCCTGACTTAGTCCTTAGGAAAGAAAAGTAAATTGTGCTTTAAAACCTGACTATTTTCATGTCATTATTTTAAAGTAAGATGTCTTATTAAAAGAGAGAACGCTTTAAAACGGGCTTAAAATATGTGATGGCGCCGCCGTCACTGACACACAGTTCAGAGGCCAAACAAGAAGCGGGTGCAGTGATGAGCTGGAGGTCCTCAGTCAGCCGGATGGGCGGGGCTTAGGACTGCTCCTGGGCGGGGCTTAGGACTGCTCCTGGGCGGGGCTTATGATTGATCATGGGCGGGGCTTATGATTGATCATGGGCGGAGACGTGTGATCGGTGATGGCAGAAAGCCATTTAGGGAGCGAGATGGAGACTTTTTTTTTGGTTTTTATTTTCCTATTTTAATGTTTCCACTTTGGGAGAAGAACAATAAATTGGCACCAACTCTACAGACGACTACGCCGTCGCAATCAAACTCTTTTATATACAAACTCAATTACCTACTAGTACAATGTAGTTTAACACAAGTTTAAAAGTAAAACAAACTGATTCTTTGTGGTCTAAAGAAAAGATCATGTAAACATTTATTTTCATTTTGTGTCATAACCCTGTGATGTAATTCCTCACGTCCTTCAGAAATCTGGATGACAACTTACTAAATTCTAATGTATAATACTATTTATTTAAATACGACTGATTCAAAGACACGTCCTGATGAACGTGCAGAGAGAAGAAAGGCGAGGACGTCATCCGGGTGCCAAATGTTATTTGGTATCAGTGTATTTATATGTGTGTAAGTGTATCTGTCAGTTTGGGTATGTATTTATATATATATATATTTATGTTTGTTAGTGCGTCTTTGTGTATATCTTATGTGTATATATATATTTTAGCGCAGCCCTGTGTAGTTTTATCTATGTGTTGGAAACGTTACATATGATCACTGCAGTGATCGGTTGTCTCTCCTTCCTTCCTTCCTTCCTTCCTCCGTCCTACATTAATCTCCTGTTTTCTCTTCACCGTGTTCGGACTCCAGTATCGTCCATATGGTGACTGCTGGGAAGCAGCCTGCTCATCACACACACACACACTGCAGGGGTGTGTGTGTGTGTGTGTGTGGTTGTGTGTGTGTGTGTGTGTGTGTGTGTGTAATGCAACAGAATGAAACCCCATCAAATACTTTTCGATATCAGAAGCGTTTCTTCTGATTAGTTATTTGAGGCGTTGGACCAGTTCTGCACAAACACGACCTTTCAACATCTGAAATATGAAGCTCGCCAGACGCTCCGATGCCGCTCAGCATGCCTGTGTGGAGCCGAGCACACACACACACACACACACACACTGAATGCACGGTGAGAAACGCACAAGCAGGTTTGAGCTGCAGAGGAGCAACATGTTTAAAAGTCACATTCAGATCACATTACTAACATTCGCTTCCATTCCAGCAGGTTTCAGCTGCGGCTCGTGACGCTGACTCCCTCCCTGTTTACAAGATTAACGTTTCCTGGCAACCACAAGTCCATCGTTTCCCCGACGTGTCCGTCCGGGTAAATGGTGAGTTTTACATGAGCTTGTTAGAAGTACGGTGACGCGACTCAACCCGGGAAAACACATTTAAAACACGATTTTGCCTGTGATTTTCAGAAGGATCCATTGTTTCTTGTGAGCCTCTAGTTGTTCTATGATAACAATAAAACTAACAATATGAATAAAAACGTCACGAATAAGGAAATATAAAGAAAACAACTACTACTAATAATGTAAACGTAGGAAATGGGGAAAGAAAGGAGGCGTAATGGAGCTTCACTAGTGCAGAAAAGTGGGCTGAGCTGCTGAAACAATGAACTCAGTCATCTGAGGAGGAGGAGGAGGAGGAGGAGGAGGATGATGAAGGGTGGGAGGAGGGGGAGACCACAGATGTTTATAATCAATAGCTTCCATGTGATTGACGGGCTGGTCACAAACCAGCCAACTAGCCAGATCGAGTTCTGCCGCTTGGTCGTCATGGCGACCGATCGACGATTGATCAACAACAGGCGATACGAGTAACTTTACGCGGATGACGTAATGTGGCCGGACCCCCCCGTCCCCCGTCCCCCCCCGTCCCCCCCCTTCCCCACACACATGACCTTCTAATGTTGACGGTTTAAATTGTGTCAATAAAAGGAGGTTTATGTTTAAATTCCTTTCTCTCTCTCTCTCTCCATTAGAGCGCCATGGACTGCACGAACAAAAACATTGGGCCAAGTTCACATTTGGGAGGGGTTGCTAGAGGGGGCCCAGGGGCCGCTCTGACCAGATGTGCTGTTGTGGGGGGGGGGGGGGGGGGGGGGTGAGGAAAGGGGGGAGCGTTTGGAGAAAGAGGGGAGAAAGTTCCCTGAGAGTCGCTGAGCAGGAACTTCAGAGCGAGAACGAAAAGTTCCAAAATGATTAAAAGGACCAAAGGTCAAAACCTCACCGTGAGGGTTTAAATGGGTGAGATACCCCCCTCCCCCCCTCCCCCCCCCAAGCTCCGTTTTTCTTCTTGCTCAATATCAGCTGTTTGTTCCCCCTGCGGAGTGTAATTGAGAAGAAAACAGGTTATTTTGACGGGTTCTGAATCTGAAAGGATTCGCTGCAGCGAGAAGAGGTGGAGATCGATGCCGGGACCATCGTGGTCTTTCCCACGAGGTCAAAGGTCGGAGCCAGCAACCGAATCCCTCATTCTCCTTCGTCACCTCGGTGGGTCGATATATTGATGAGGGGACTGAATGAGGACGATGGACATTTTACTGCTGCTCGACTTCTAAAGCAACTCTTCGGTCTCTCAAATTAAAACGCATATTCAATTCTTCAGATGTCAATTAAAATATGTGTTCAAACGTGTCAGAAAGAAACAATGACATCACAATACTTCCGCCCTGATACGGTCATACGGTACGGCATCACCACACTATGATGTCACCGTACGCACACAGTACTTTTGTGCTTTTAGTGTTGTGTCATGTGGTCCTGCACATCTGTCCCCATCTGGACACACACGTGGGAGGACCTGCATTGGGATTGTATAGATGTCACGATGTCTCCAGCTCAGGAGTTTCTGTCCCCTGGTTCTTCTCCTTCTCCTCATTTCCAGACCCAGATTCTGGGACCGTGAACGCTTGTAGTTGTGCACATTTTGGGACGCACAAATTGTGATATAAGGGGACTGTTCTTGTATAAACTCCCCCCCAAAAGTTAGATATGTCTCGCTAAAATGAGCAGGACACATGTCCTTTAAATAGACTTTGTTATTTCTTTCACTCCACGAAGCCTCTACTGACTTTCCTCAGTTCCCATATTCTTTATCCGGCTAAAATATTAGATTGTAAACTGAAATAAGTTAAGTGAATAAAATATTGGGTTGGAACCCAGAAGTAAAGGCATCTTCATTAGACAGAAGTATTCTTCCTCAACTCCTCCTCATCTTCACCGCTCTTCTTCTCCTCCAGGCAGGTTTTTCGGACTGTTGCGCATCAAGTCGCTCAGAATGAGAACTGATTCTTTCGCTACGAAATAAAAGCACAAAAGGAGGAAAATATGGAAAGATGCAGCCACTAAATATGCAACGTGTAAAAGGAGAGCGTTGTGTCTCCAGAAGGACGCCTGCGTAAATAGTTCTAAATGTGTATTCATACGATCAAACACAGATATCTTTCTAAAGTGTAATTAACAAACAAAAGTTAATTTGATTATTTCCAAAGTTTATTTTGTTTTGTTCGCTGTGGCTAAAATATCAGGATCTTCCCCGTTAGCCTCGTATGGTCTATAAGCCTTCCATATGTAAGAGAACACAGATTAATTCATTGATTTAATCCTTAAATCCACGTCGTCGGTCTTGTGGTAACGCGGGCTTTCATTTTGATGGGGCTGAACCGGATGTCTCGCCCGTTGCGCTCCGGCGGGGGCGACACATTTCTCCACACAGCTGAGTCTCCTCTCCACCACCACATAAAAAAAAAAGAAGGGAAAAGCTCGCTCGCAGTCAAAAAAAACAATGAGGGGCGCAGGACGCGCGACTCGCTCCAAGCCTCTCCAGCGGCGGCGCACGGTCCGCAGCGCGCGCGCACGCGCTCCGACCGCCGGGTGAAGGACCGCGGGAATAAAGCTCGACCGTCCGCGGAGTTTGTTGTTGTTGTTGATGTTGTTGTTTGCCCGTAGTTGCGAGGAGTAACCATGCCTTTCTGCAAACGGACGATACTTCCGAAAGACGTGTGCAAGCGCGACGCGCCCCTGCGGCCGCGGGCGCGTCCGCCCGCGCGCTCGCGGCAGCGGGCGGAGATCTTCGGGGACTTGGCGGACGTGTGCGGCTTCGGCCTGTGCTCGGTGCTCCGGCAGCTCTCGGATCTGTCCCGGGTGTCGGTGAGCATCCTGGAGGAGCTGGAGGGGGAGCTGGTGTCCGTCTGCCGCCGGTCCGGCGCGCTGGAGGGCCGAGCGGCGCGGCTGCAGAGGCACGTCGCGCAGCTGCTCAGCAAGCCTCCGCCGAGAAGTAAGAGGAAATTAAAAAAGCGCACACACACACACACACACCTGTGGTCACTTTGCACTGGAGGGCGGCTGAAGCAGTTTAGTGTCAAACTTTTTGATATCAGCACGCGCGCACAGACGCTTTTTCACTGGAGAGATTCGTGCTTTTGTGACTCTTGAGTCATGACTCATCATCCCCGCTGCGCGTCTCCAGAGTTGTTTGGTGCTGTGAGCGAGTGAGGGGTTTGTTATTGTCAGCTGGTGGAGATGCGTCCTCGCGTTCACTTGCTGCGGGAAATCTGAGACTTATTTGCGCGCACAGCACACGATCCGGGGAGGGGATTTCAAACTGTAACTGTAATTAAGTGACGCCGTGCAGGAGCCCATGAGCATGGCACATAACCGGTGTGACAGTGAGTCCCACCGACCCGTTGATTCCTCCTGACGGATTGGCGTTGGGCTCACAGGGTGTCCCTGAAGGCAGCGTGGGGTGGGTGTGAAGGCTGGAATGTCCCCGTGTTTTGGGGTTGAGTCCTCTACCTGTCACTTTGTCCCCGTCCACCCTCGACCAGGGTTGTTTTTTGGTTCTGTGTAAATTTTAAACCTCACAGTTTCAGTTAATGAAGGTTGAAAGATTTAAGATGCTGAAGTTCAGGGTTTTGCTGCCGAAAAATACCATGAACTCATGTTTACAACGTTTACTGAGGGAAAAAATCCAGAGAGAAGTAGAGTCATTTCCTCATAGACGTCTATGGGAGCAGAGGAGTCGCCCCCCTGCTGGTCACTACAGAGAAGTAGAGTCATTCCTCATAGAGGTCTATGGGAGCAGAGGAGTCGCCCCCTGCTGGTCACTACCAGAGAAGTAGAGTCATTTCCCACATAGACGTCTATGGGAGCAGAGGGAGTCGCCCCCTGCTGGTCACTGCACAGAATGCAGTTTAAAGAGACTCAGATCTCAACTATCCAACCTCCCAATAGAAATAAATGTTATTTTTCTAACACCTTTATGAAAATATTAAAAGGCAGCTCACAGTGCAGTCGTTGATTCAAACCTTCATGCCTCAATAATGAACGACAATAACGCTGAGCCCAACACTCCCCTTCCTCTCCCTGACGGCAGCTCAGGTGATCCCGCCCAGATGCATGTTGGTAAATGCTCCCCCCCCCCCCCCGTGGCCGCCGCCCTGTTTTAACTCTGCAAACTTCTGCAGGAAACTCCTTTGTTTCCTCAGGCGGCGATGAAGAGTGAGCGTGCGAAACGAGGCGATCCGGCCGAGAGTTTATGAGGCTAACGTGTGTGTGTGTGTGTGTGTGTGTGTGTGTGTGTGTGTGTGTGTGTGTGTGTGTGTGAGCACGTACAGTTTGATTACAGAGAAAGGCCCCCAAACACAGACCAGATGTAAAGCTGGAAAGAGGAGAGCAGGAAGGGAGATAAAACAAAACGTAGCACTTCTTCAGTTTACTTTAAGCTACTCGCCCGTGCGTGTGTGCGTGTGTGTGTGTGTGTGTGTGTGTCTCCTCTGTTACTCTGCGTGGGTTCTCACTGTATCACCAACACGTGGGTAGATGCACACGGCTAAGCAATCAATAGAGCCTCTCTCATCCTCCTCCTCATCCTCCTCATCATCATCATCATCGTCCTCATCAAGAAAGAGAAGCATGTCGTCCCCCGACCCCAGGCAAAGGTCAAAGGTCACATGAAAGAATTCATATTCTAAATATGACAATTTTCCACAAATGTCTCGCGAGGTAGACCGAGTGGTCGCCGCGGTCCTGCGTCCCCGGGTGGAGTGGGCGTATCCCGAGCAGGTGGGCGGGAAAACGCAGTTTTCTGTTCTCATTTGGTGCCTGATTTTTTTTTTTTCTTTCTTTGTTTTCACAAAGCGAATTCTCTGGAAGCCACATTCTTCCTTCTGAGGCCCGAATGGTTTTAAAAGCTCAACCAAGGACGTCACGGCAGGTGTTTTCTCTCAGCGGGGTCGAAGGCAACGCACCTGCTGTGACATCAGCAAGTTCGGGGCGTCGGCTTCCCCGTTAAGAGGCGCCAACGTTGTCTGCTCTCATCGGAGTCATGAGGAGCAAAGTCCCATTTCTCCCATTTTACCTGAATGCTGCACAGGATGAAACACTCTCTCTGGTTTGAGGGGGAAGAAATCAAGCGCTCCCACGGCACTATGTGAGGAATGCTTCACTCTTAACTTTCCCCTCCAAATGCTGTAATGAAAATCAAATGGTTGAGTGAGAAAGAGCCTCTCCCTCCCCCTCTCCCCCTCTCTCTCCCCCTCTCTCGTTCCCACGGCTGGACATCGGCTTCGTGACTCAAAATCCCTGTTTTTTTTGGGCCCCTCTGAAATTCCCCTTCTGTTCGTTGCTTGATTCTTCTGCTTCGCTCCTCTTTTTCCTCCGACGCCGACATGCAGCAGGAAGAAAGGAAGAAAGGAAGAAAGGAACTCCTCCAGAAGACGCCTGGTGTTTGGAGATGCGCTCAGTCCTCCTCCTCCCCCCCCGTCCTCCCCCTCCACCGCTCTTCTTCCTAGCGGCGGTGATTCACGGGTCCGCTCCTTTTTAAAAAGTTGACTTTAATACTGCGAGCTGCCAAATGGCCAGAAGAGCAACTCGCCCGGCGAGGGAGACACTGTGAATGCTGCCAGGCGTCAGCGAAAGAAGCCGAGTAGAAATCTTCTCACGTCTTCCGTGACCTTGTGCCCTTTGCTGGGCGGTGAAGTGCAAAGTATTATTATTTTATTATTATTTTACAGTCCACCCGGATGAACCTCAAACATCTGCATAACTTTAATGGACAAAATCTTGAGTTGTCCTTTTTCGTTCACATACATTTTTGTTTAAGCTGTTTACCACCATTGATGCTGACTGACACACACACACACACACACACACACACACACACACACACACACACACACACACACACCCTCCCCCCTCAGAGGAGCGTTTAAACACGGCACAGAGAATCGGGGAAAGTGCAGAAGAAGAGATGAAAGATATTTCTTGGAGGAAGAGGAAGGGTGAAGATTGACAGAAGTGGAGGGATTACAGGCGAGCGGGGGACACGGGGGGGGGGCAGGGGGGGACGGAGGACATCACAGTTATGTCACTTCAACAGCTGGAATTTCCCTTCCCGTGTCAATAAAAAGTCTCCAGCCGTGCGTTTGTGACTTAGATTGTTTTACCTTCTGCAGGTGTGGTTTGCATGAGAGACCTTCTCATGTCCAGCACGGGGGGGGGGGACGGGTGGAGACCAAAGACGGAGCTAAAAGCAAAGCTGCTATTAACACTGTTAATACTCCAAAGTAGTTTTTCTCCCGTGTACTTTGTGCTGTAAATACTAGTAGAAAAGCTGCATTCTGCTCCCTTATGAAGGTATTTAGGAGCCTCGTGTTAAACCTCCACGCTAAATCTTTACGTCGTTCTTCTAGAGCAGAGATCTTTCCACACGTCGCACAGAATAACGAGTCCAAAGGGGTTCAGTTACAGCGGTGACATAATGCAGGAAGAGGCCCGGCGATAAAACACGCTGCACGTGCAGAACCGCTCCCTCTCTGCTGTGTGTGTGTCTGTGTGTGTGTGTGTGCGTGTGTGTTTTTCCAGTTCGTCGTCCATCACGCTCTCAAGACGGCTTCTTCTCTCTTTCCCGTGTGACTTGTTCACACACACACACACACACAGACACACGCGGTGCCAACGGGAGGACGGTCATGTGATCTCCCGCAGCGCCGGCGCCTATCGGAGGGGGAGGAGCGAGAGGAAGGATGAGCGAGTTTGTTCGCGGCGGCGGCGAGCTGAGAGCTTCACATCTGGAGTTCATGGGCCCGTTTGTTGCCTTCAAACTGTTGTTTGGAAAGAAAGTATCGAGTGCCAAGAAAACGAGCTTCATCGTCCTGGAAACGATTTGATTTGGCAGCAAAGTGGCGTCACGGCGTCACAAATGGCGGCGTGTTTTGACCACACATGTGACCATTGAAGTTTGCGATGGACCCACAGGTGTTTGTAGATGTGCGTGCGTGTGTGTGTGTGTGTGTGTGTGTGTGTGCGTGCTAACAGGCGGCCTCATGAGAGCTGCGTGTTTTCCTCATTGTGTTCCTCGGCTCGTCTCTCGGGGCGGACAAAAGGCCGGCTGTCGACAGCAACGCGCTCCACGCGGCCGGCGGCGAGCGGTAATGGTGGACGCAATCACTTCCAGATGACGGTGGACTTGTGTGTGTGTGTGTGTGTGTGTGTGTCTCCGTTATGGACGGAGTTACCTGGTTCGAGGTGGACACACGGCCAAACGTGTTTGTTTTGTTTTGTTTTTTGTTTTTCTAGTGTTGACAGCTGGGTAGGAAAGGACACAGACAAGGAAAGGAGTCAAGGAGACAGCCATTATCCAGGACAAGCTGGGCGTTGTTGCCGGGGAAACGGCTGAATCAGAACCAGAGAGGTTTTCTTCATTGAAAGAAGAACGACACGGGGGGGAGGGGCTCCTCCAGATGTTTGATTGACGCATTGATTCGGCCAATCAGCCGCCAAGTGGATCCTCGGGTCTCTTCACAGAGGCACAGAATGCAGTAAAGATCCTGGTTCTGTTCTGTTGGATCAGCGAGTTAAAGCTAAAAGTGTATTTACCGCCTGCTCGTTGTGGCGACACAACAACGGGACACACAATTGTGACGCCGAGCACATGGACCCGGACGCCCCGATGTGTGTGTGTGTGTGTGTGTGTGTGTGTGTGTGTGTGTGTGCGGCCTCCCGCTCTACCCGCCCACCACCTGGCAGCCGTGCGGCTCTGCAGTCTGTGTGGAGCAGATGATCAGTGTGTGTGTGTGTGTGTGTGTGTGTGTGTGTGTGTCTCTGCATTAACTCGTCCCCTCGTGAGTCTGAGCGTCATGTCGACATTCAACCTCATGCGTTTCAACTTTCCCCACGAAGTCATTATTTTTGTTTTAACCGCTTAATCGTGGAGGATGAATCCAACAGGCGTCAAGTCGACGTTATGTGTGCGACTGAATCCAGTTCCTCTGCAGCTTGTGTGTCCGTAGTTGTGTGTGTGTGTCTGCGTGTCCTCTGTCTGCCCTCTGGGTTCATTAGTGCGCTGTGTGAAGCCGACACTCTGCCACGCGCACACACACGCACACGCACACGCACACGCACACGCACACGCACACACACAGCTTGTTTACTCTGCAGAGTAAACAAGCTGCTGATTATTTGATGGGAAAATTTCCCTCGAATTCCACTCAAAGTTGTTGTTGCATCATGGTGCGATTTGACCTTTAACCCCTTTGATGTTGTGACACGTTGTGACTCGTTGTGACTCGTTGTCACTCGTTGTGACACGTTGTGACTCGTTGTGACTCGTTGTGACTCGTGTCATGTTGTGACTCGTTGTGACTCGTTGTGACACGTAGTGACTCGTTGGGACTTGTGACGCGTTGTGACTCGTTGTGACTCGTTGTCACTCGTTGTGACTCGTTGTGACTCGTTGTGACTCGTGTCATGTTGTGACTCGTTGTGACTCGTTGTGACACGTAGTGACTCGTTGGGACTTGTGACGCGTTGTGACTCGTTGTGACACGTAGTGACGCGTTGTGACTCATAGTGACTCGTTGTCACTCGTGACTCATGTCACGTTGTGACTCGTGACGCGTTGTGACTCGTTGTCACTCGTTGTCACGTTGTGACTCGTTGTGACACGTAGTGACGCGTTGTGACTCATAGTGACTCGTGTCACTGCTGGATGGATGTATTGATTGATTGATTGGACGGAAGGATGCGCTGGAGAATGAGGCGATCGGCGGTGTGGGGGAGGACGGGGGAGGCGGAGAGAGGAGCCGTGACTCTTTCTTTAAAGGTAGACGCTTCGGTTTGTTGTGTTGTTACATTCGTAATAAACGTGTTGAACGTCCTCGGTCCCTCCTCAGCAGTTTGTCCTCCATGAACTAGACGAGAACATTGGGAGACGTGTGTGGGACCACGGCGTCTCCGCCGTGCGAGTGGGGAAACGCAGCACGCCACCGCTTGTTGGTCCGCTGTGCCCCGCCCCCCCCCCCCGAGTCACATGGCCGGGCCTCAGATCTCCGGGAGACGACGTCCCACGAGGACACATTTCTCAAATTCACCCGAACAAGCTCACAAAACAATCCGTATCTCGTAAGAGGTCTTTTCAAAATAAAGTTCCGTCGCCACGGGAAACCAGGAGGTGGTCCCTCAGAGTCCTCAGATGACATCACCATCTCGGATGAACGCGTCCCTGAGGACGTGTGCCTGCACATTCAGTGATTTGTGTGTGTGCAGCAGAGCAGATTATGTTGTGCGACCTCGTCACCACCGGCGAGGAAAACGTCCTCCTCCATCCCTTTGGGCGGAGGTTCCTCCAACAGCAGTTCCGCTTCCTTTTTTCTTGGGCTGTCTGGTGTGTCCCTGTCTTGGTGTTCGTCCTCTCGCGTGCCCTCCAGGTCTCCGTCCGCTCCAATGGAGGGGGGGGGGGGCGGGAGACGGATGAGAGGCAAATTATAGAAAAGCAGTGAGTTGGTGGAACAGATGAGAGGAAGCCGGAGGGACGTAGAATAAAAGAAAAGAAACGAGAGACGAAAGAGTAAAAATATCTAAAAGAAAGGGGAAATCTAAATATGATTGGTCCTTTACAAATAAATAGTCCTAAATAATAAATCCTAGATATAATTTGTCCTGCGAAAAAATATTAATATGAAAAAAAAAAAACACCCTATGGAAAAGTCCTAAAATTAAATCTGTATAATTAAGAGAAAAGACGAGAAGAAGAAGAAGAGAGAAGGAGGTGAAGTGTTGCCCTCTGTGAAGGAATGCATCATGCTGTTTGTGTGTGCATGTGTGTGCGTGTGTGTGTGTGTGTGTGTGTGTGTGTGTGTGTGTGTGTGTGCATCACATTACCTTCCTGTTTTTGGATTGGAAATCGATGTTTTTTAAAGTGTGCGTATTGTTTTCGGTTGTGAAATTCATACTTGTGGCGAACAAGACCGGTTTCAGGAATGTCGCCCACCTGGAAGTTCCTTCCTCTGTGTGTGTGTGTGTGTGTGTGTGTGTGTGTGTGTGTGTGCAGTTTTAATCAACAATGACGTTGTACTTTTTTGTCCAATCACAGTTGAGGTCATTTGGAGTTTTAAAACTTTATTACATATCATTGTTATTATTATTGTGTTAAATTACTTGTATCACATCACCACATCAGTTTACATTAGTTTAGCACGTCTTAGCTTAGCGTAGCTTGTGTTACCTCAGTTCAGTTAACTTTGGCTCGTCTCAATTTAGCATAGCATAGCTTAGTTTAGCTCAGCTCATCTTATCTGACTTTATCCGCTGTGCTCGTCTCATCTGATGTCATCCGTCTCATTATCGGTTAGCCTAGCTTAGCTTGTCTCATCTTATTAATGACTGACTATTGAGTCTTTATCGCCAACGCGCGTTTCATTTTTAGGCTTTTTCTGTCCTCAGCCGCCTTTTTCACTTGCTCCCTTCTTCCCTCCTTCCTTGCCTCCTCCTCTCCTCCCCGGCCTCCATCGTGACCCTCCCACTCCAGACAGACGAAATATTCTGTAATCGGCCTCACGTGCTTCTGCTGTCACCGTGCACACTGACGAGGCTGTGCGTGTGTGCGTGTGTGTGTGTGTGTGTGCGTGTGTGTGTGTGTGTGTGTGTGTGTGTGTGTGTGTGTGCGTGTGCGTGTGCCGCTCTGGTTTTTGATCTGAGTGCCGGCGTTTATTTCACATGCAAATGATTCAAAGTGCGTCTCCGTCTCCTCGTGCAGCTGCAGCAGAGAGAGGCCTTTTTATCTCGCCGTCACCGAACCCTTTGGCCTCTCGGACTCTGAAAGCGAGTCGGTTCCAACGAACCCGGCGAGGACGCCGTCCCGCTCGCGCCGTCTTTTTTTCTTTTTTTTTGTGGCGTTCCACCTGAGCGGAGGTCGCTGGAGGACGTTCCCGGGTTTTTGACCGCGTTCCTTCCGTCTGTTCCGCGCATTCGTGGAACATCTCCTTTAGTCTGCAGGGACGACATTCTCTTGCCGGGCCGCGGCGGGCCGAACGCTGGCT